GATAGTCTGGTCATAGATGTCTGGATTCACTGTCATTTGCTGTTGGAAAGATACTGCCTCGGAAACCCAAGGAGGGGTCGCTATGAGTCGGGGCTGACTCGACGGCACATAACAACAACAACAACAAGCCTCCTAAACTGTGAGTAAAAAAATTCTGTTTGTTAAAACTGTCCACTTGTGGTATTTCTGTTATGACAGTACTAGATAACTATGACAACTACAATGCTGCTGATCATGATGTTCGTACTAAGTAGATCCAACAGTTATTATTTTGTTTACATGGGTTATTGATTATCAAGACTGTTTGAAAGAAAATCCTGCAAAAAAATACAGATGTTTAGGGAGAAAATATGCCAAAATGAAAGGAATGAATAAGTAGTCATTCATAGTATCTTTGTTTAGTACAGTAGATGATTTATTATTAAATGTGGAGTCTGGGAAGAGAGTAGGGTGTGGGAAGAGAACTTAGAAAGTGTGTATTTCAAAAAGGTCATCATTCAAATTATAAAATGGTCTCTTTTCAGGAGACATCTGATGCAATCTTCTAATAAGTGGAGAATAATCAAAGATAAGATCAATGTACCAAGGTAAGTGACTATGAAGGGGGTTGTGGGAAAAACTCTAATGGCCAAAGTAATTGGCTTACAAATTTCAAAACTGTGCAAATCTGCCATAGGTCTTATTCATACTACCTCTTCATTTGGAAGTATACCAGAATGCTATTTATGGTGTTTGACAGAAAATACCCCATGTTGCCCTCCAGATTTTCCTTTTCACTCATGACTATCTTCACATAAGTCAACTAGGCATTCTTTGCCACACAACTTGGGTCACAGGCAAATTCCAAGTGTTCAGGCTATGAGCAATCGACTTAAGGCATCATGAAGAATCCTTTCAAAGTTCTTCTGCCCCAATCCTACCTCTATTCCTGCCCTGTAACAGTTTAACAGTTTTCTGGATCATGAGGGGAGGCAAAGTGAAGCATGGTGTGATTAAAAAAAAAAAAAAAAAAAAAGGTAATTCTGTTTAAATAAATATCTCATCTGAGGGGATTCCCAGAACTTAACGTCCAAATCCTCAGAATGAGTCCGTGCCTTGGTTCACATTTACCCTTACCCCTCCCCCCACCACTCCAACAAAATCTTCTCTCTTCCATGAAAGGCCCACTGTGAGTCTCCCCATCGCCAATGTCAGCCTAGCCCCACCAACACTATCTCTCCGTCCTCCGTGAACTCGTCTGGAATGCGGAATCCAGAATCTGTACCTTACACTCTACTGCTTCACGCCATGCAGAGTTTTCTGTCAGTCCTGACAGCAGGGACATCCCTCTGCTCTTCTTCCAGCAAGGTGTTCCACGCAGACACATCAGTTCATTCATTCAAGAGCATTCACTGTTTCCACCTGTTCTAATTTTCGGGGGCTTGGGCTGGATCTCCTCTCTGCCTTCGTCTCTTCCTTCCCTCCTTCCTCATCTGACTGCCTCTTTTCCCAGGTTGTTGTGGGCGCCCTGCCCTGGCGCCCCGTATCACCATGTTTCGAGCTCCACGATGAGCACCACCACGGCATGCGCCGTCCCAGGTGCAGAGGTACCGGGGCTGCGCTGCCGCTCCCTTCTTCCGATACAGCCCATTCTTCTTATTATTACACTGCGTCACAAGCAGCACACTGGGTCAGTGTCTTCAGGGAACATTCTGTAACAACCTCCGAGTTCGAACTTCAGTGATAAACCTTTGCCTCAGACTGCCCAACGTTCCACTGTGCCACCCTGAAATCTGCCATTTGGGGCCTACTGTTCATCCCAGTGAGATTTTTCTTGATAGTGTGTGGCTACGTGGTGGTAAACAGAAAGATGTCACAGGACAGTCACCTCGATTATCTGTACAGGCAGTCCCCGGGTTACAAACATCCACGCCGTAATTATGAACCAACATGCCCCCACTAAAGTCCCTTATATATAAAAATCCACGGTAACAATGGGCACTCCTTTGCGATGCACATCAAAATATTACTGCGTTACAGATGTTTCAGTGCATTTGGAATTGTTTCTTTAGTGTTTTTACGCATAGGGAAGTACACTATATACTAACACAAACATCTGACTAACTGATGTTAGACACCAACCATGCTTCACTGTTCTGACTTATGTACATGTTCGACTTAAAGACAGACTTCAGAGCAGGACTTACATGTAAACTGGGGACTGCCTGTATGACCAAATAAGGCCAGTCTGCACACCAGTCCCGGGGAGCCCCACGGACTCCACAGTTTACATTCGTCCCTAGAAGAATGAGCTTAACTGCCAGCCTACTTTTTCAATCTCCTCCCAAGCGCTCGTTTTTGAAAAATAACTTTCAAAAGATTTTCTTTTTTAAGTCTTAAGTTTTACCACTGATTACTTTTGGTTATGTTGCTGACAGGCAACTCCAAACACTCACCAAACTAAACCAAACTCCCTGCCGTCAAGTCGGATCTGACTCATAGTGACCCCTCCTTGGGTATCCGAGGCAGTATCACTATGGAAGTTGATTGCCCAAACTGCTTTCCGAGGAACGACTAGTGGGTTTGAACCGCCAGCCTTCTGGTTAAGAGTCAAATGCCCTAAGCACTACGCCACTAGAGCTCCTTCAAAATATGTTGTTGTTGTTTTTACGTGCCGTCGGGTTGGACCCAACTCATAGCGACCCCTCCTTGGGTTTCCGGGGCAGTATCATTACAGAAGTAGACTGCCCCATCTTCCTTCCGAGGAGTGGCTGATGGGTTTGAACCGCCAGCCTTCTGGTTAGCAGTCAAGTGCCTTAGGCACTGCACCACCAGAACACATTAGTGATCAGAAATTATGTGCATCCCCCCAGGCTTTTCTCACGTGTCCAGACCCGCTACCATTTATCAGAGCCTCTGCCAGCTTGCCTAGTACTGAAGCATGAGTTCCCATCCTGCATTTCTCAGGGTCCCCTGAGTGGTCCTTTTTGCTGAAGTCACAGTCCTCTGCCACAGTGCCCTTTGTAACAACAGGTCACACAGATTTGCCAACAGTTTCATCATTTAACACGCAAGCTTTTAAAACTCTTGGGTGGATGCCATTCTACCGCAGTCAAATTCCTGATTGTTAACCGGGCTCACCCAAGGGCCATGACTCGCCTGAAGCAACGTGAAAACAAGCACCTTCCCAACATCTTCCCCAGGAACGACCAACAGACACGATGCATTTAGACTTTTGTTTCTTCCTCAGCTCCCTTTCCTTACAAACTCAAGAGGAGGTTTCCCTTACAAACCTCCTCTTCATCTCCATTACTCATCTGTGCTCTTCACACCCCTCTCAAGGCCTCCCACCTCAAGTCATCAAAGCCAGAGGTCTAAGGAGACCTCTCTCCAGCTCCCATACTCACCCGGTCCCGTCCACTCTTGGCCAGGGAGACATTGGCAACAGGGAAGGAGCAGAGTGAGGAGGTGGAGTAATCGCAGTCGGTCCTAAATGAGAACAGGGGATGACACTCTGCTGTGACAGCACCTGCCTTACCCCTCACCCTCCTTGACCTCCTAGGGCTCCCTTCTGTCCCAGCTCCTCCCCAAAACAGGCACCCTTCTCTTTTCCAGCGAGACGGAGAAGAGCTATATCCAGGAGATTCAAGACACCACCACGGTCCTTTTATTCTCTTCCCGCCCCTTCAGTGTCGTTCCTCTCATTAGAGCAGGAATCCTTTGATGGCAGTCTCTGGAATCTCAAAAAATTTCAAAATTCATTTTCCAAAGAAACCCTCGGAGAGCTTGACAAAAATAAGCGTCCTGGGTCCCACCCCCTGAGCTTCTAATGCAGTTGTTTTGGTCTTCCGAGAAAAGGCCTCTTCAAGGGGATCCACAGATGTCCTTTCCAAGGCTCATAACCCCCTCAAGTTGTAGGCAAAATTACATGTGGAGAGTGCGTGCACACACGTGGAGACGTGTGCATATATGCGTACATGTACATTTTTCTGGCACGAAGGGCGAAAGCTCTCGTAAGACCATACCCCCTGTAAATGCGCTCTGGTGGTACAGTGGTTAAGGCATTTGGCAGCTAACCAAAAGGTTGGCAGTTTGAACCCACCAGCCGCTCCATGAGAGAAAGGTGAGGCAGTCTGCTTGCACCAACATGAACAGTCTTGATAACCGAATGAGGCAGCTCCACTGTCCTATAGGGTCTCTGTAAGTCAGAATGCACTTGATGGCAGGGGATTGATGCCTCCTGTAAGATTAGGAAGCTCTGCTTGCCTTAAGGGAGCTCTGGTGGCATAGTGCCTAAGGCACTTGACTGCTAACCAGAAGGCTGGCGATTCAAACCCACCAGCCACTCCTCAGAAGGAAGGTGGGGCAATCTACTTCTGTAGTGATACCGCCTCGGAAACCCAAGGAGTGGTCGCTGTGAGTCGGATCGGACTCGACAGCAATGAGTTTAGTTTCTTTTTTGTTTGTTTGTTTGCTTTCCTTAAAACTGTAATTCATGACCACAGACTTTTACACAGGACAAAAAAGGACTCTGGCTGCTTGATCATAATGCCCTCAGCAGCTTCTGTGGCGGGTCCCACAGCCACTGTTAGGGTACACAAGGGAAGAGCACGTGGCAGAGTCTATAAAATGGGAAGCAACCAAGGGCCCAGGCAATCAGCCTAGTCACCCTGTGTTGCCACATCTCTATTGTACAGCAGACTAATGGGGGTGGGGAGGGATTAACGGCTGAGGTAAGCTGCTGCTTTCCTCATACCTGCTGAAGGGCAATTTCGTGTTGAGAAGACCCAAGGGTCTTGGGTTCTACCTTGATTCTGAGAGGCCTGATCCAACTTAACCAGAACTGACCCTCAGAATGACAGTCCAGAAGTAATTGGTTTATTTGTTCCCAGAATGTACTACCCTGAAGTAGAACTAGGACCCTTGAGTCCTAGAGCCTGACCGGTCTCAGCTTTGGGCTGTGAAAGGTAAGATGTCAAATGAGCTCACGTGTCCTTCTCTGTGACTGAGAGCCACTGAGTAATTCCGCAGGGCCCTTGGAGCCACCACCTCTCACCAGATTCCTCTACTGGATGGAAGGCTCCTCTCACCTGTAGTGGAAATGCACAGGGCTGAGATGACTGACTGTTGGCATGTAGGAATAGTAGAAGGAACCGTAGAGGAACACAGACACCCAGAGCAGGAGCAGGATGGTGCAGAAGAGCACCCCAAATTGCAGCAGCAGCCTGCGGGCACGGCCTGCCAAGATGTAGCCCACCTCCTGGGCCCACAGTAAGGCAGGTACTGGTGGGTCATTGACCATAGCTGGGAGAGCAGGAGGCCTGGCCCCAGGTTCAGCCCTTGCGTTCCTAGCCTCTCTGCCACCTGGATGCCATCCCTGGTCATGGGGTACAGCTGCTGGTGGCTCCTGAAAGAGACAGAAAAGGAAAAAAAAAAAAATGGCTCCTTCCTCCAGGGAGGTGAGAACAAAAAGGATAAGCTTGCTAGACTGGCTTGGAGGAAGCAGAGAGAGCGGGATAAAGCAAAGCCACTGTTTCACATGGCTTTTCTCCAAACGGTTGTGTTTTCGGCCAGTTATCCCTTCCTGGTGCTCCCTTCACCCCTCAATGCCCGAGCTCCTTGACCGAACTCCTCTAACCACTGATCCCAGAACAAGCCACCTTGATATGCATTCACAGCAATATATAACATATAGAAGATGAACACTTTACAATTCTTACAACACGTTTTTACACACGCGATGCCACTGAGCCAAGACATCGTACGGTGGATGCAGGGAGAGGATGTGCGACTTGCCTAAGGGTCGCATAGCTGAACTCAAAACTCGCAGCCTAACCGCAGTCGCAACTGCCTCCCGAGTTTCTCCTCTCGGACGCTGAAGAACTCGTCTGTCCACTGCGCACCCGCACCTCGAGCTGCTCTCGCTCTGCGGCGGGGCTGAGCCCCACGCAAGGCAAGGCTTCCTGCAGCCATCCGCCACTTCCCTGCCGGCGGGCTGGGGCTTCGCGAAGGGCCAGGCGGCGGGAGCCCCTACCTAACTGCGTTACCATGGAAACCAGCCCGCCTGCAGCTCCGACCACTCACCAGCCTCGCGCGCTGCCAGGGCAACCACCAGCGGGGACTTCCGCCTCCTAAAAAAGTCCCGCCCCTTTCGACCCGCCGTCTTGGTAGATGTGGGGGCGGGGCTTCCGGCAGAGGGCGGGCGCAGGGGGCGGGGCCCGCCTGGCCTGAGGGGCTGTCGCTTCCGCGCCCTCCCCTGCGGCCGGTTACCCACGGTTACGGTGTTTAAAGGGGAAAGTCACCTCCCTCCTGGCCCCGAGAAATGCCCGGGGGCAGTCAGAGGCAACAGCGTCCCTCCGACGGCCTCCGCCCACACCTTCCCCACCGGCCTGTTAACTCCCAAATTCCGGCTAGCCCTGGTTTTCAACGCCCGCAGTAGCTCCTCCGGCCTGTAGGCGTCCAGGCCGAGCGCCTTCGCCCAGAGTTTTGCAGTCTTCGGGAACCTGCGCGTCTTGCGCGTTGCGCCAACGGGCGGGCTGTCCACTAGTCACGAAAGTGGTATAGCTTTTCAGCCCCGCGTTGGTCTCCTGGGGCTCACGATGAGCCCCAACCAGACACCCTCTCCCGTCCTCGGAGTCTGCACAGCACGTTATCCGGACGAAGTCTTGGCAGGCAGCCTTTTTCATTTCGTATGTGTCGTCGAAAGGCGCCCTGGTGGCACAGTGGTTAAGCACTCGGCTACGAACTAAAAGGTCGACCGTTCGAACCCACCAGCGGCTCCGAGACGTGACAGTCTCTTTCCGTAAATATTACAGCCCTGGGAACCCTACAGGGTAGTTCCACTCTGTCCTATGGGGTCCCTAGGAGTCGGAAGGGGGGACTCGTTGGCAACGGGTTTATATAAGACCCTTCAGGGGTCGGCGTTTCGTAAGAATTTGCCATTAATTTCCCCCAGCACCAAGCACAACGCTGCGGGCGTGGGAGGTATCTCTTCAAAACGTCCTAAATTCCTCCCCGTCCCCCCTCCCCGGGGAGCCCACCTGTTTCCACAAACACCCACTGACCCTCCTGCGTCCTCTTTGTCCGAGCCTTGATCCGCGCACCTACCTCTTCCTCCCCGGCTGCCCCTTCTTCTCTCTGGTCTGCCATTTCGTTAGACATCTTCCTCGCGTTCCTCCGCGGTCCCTGCACCTACCACTCGAGTCACTTGTGGCTGGAACGTGAAGTGGTGATCTCCCAGCTGCTACATGTAGTTCATCACATTTTCCTGGATTTGGGGAAAGGAGGGTCCCTGCGAGAGGAATGAAGATTCGGGGGCTAAATGCTGTGTCAGAGTAAGGGGAGGAGGGGAGGAGAGGGGCTGCTGCCCAGCTGATGTCAGATTTTCAAATGAGCAGGGTCCCCCTGCAGCCAACCCACTCCAATGCAGGGCTGTCACAGGCCCAGACCACCCCATTAAAGGGGGGTGTCGGGACTGACCCCAGCTCCTTCCAGCTCCTTTGGGGAAGGCTCTAGGCTGGCTCGGGATGCCTGCAATGGGGGAGGGGCAGGTAGTGAGACAGTAACGAGTAGCGGTGGGGGTGCGCGCAGGGGCTGCGCGCGGCATGTAGGCTCCCCCACTGGCCAGGCAGTTGGTATACGCCAGGATCTGAACCGCTCCTTCCAGCATCCTTCATCCTTCAGGTACCAGCCATCCGGGCAGTGCAGCCGCAGAAACTGACACCAGCCCTCGGCGACCGCTGGCCTGACCCCGTGGCCTTCTGTGTGCAACGCCCAGCAGGGTGCGGCACCCATAGAAGGCTTTGGTGCGCCCCACTGACCCTACACCCCTAGGGCTGCCACCGCCTGTCGCCTCAGGTCAGTAGGGAGCAGCTTGCTTTTCTCCCTCTGGGGTCCCAGGGGGCAGGTGGGGAGTATGTGGGGCTCTTTTCTGGTTGAGAATTTCAGAGCTGGGAACACAAGTCTTGAAGGCCCTTGATTATCTGTATGTTTCATGTCTGTGGCCCATGCCAAGTGGGAATTTGGGCAACGTCTTGTCTCACCCTCTTGTTTCTTCAGCCATCCCTCAGGGGTGGGAAGGGCCACTGGAGGAGGGTGGGGACAGAAGGGGACAAAATATCAGGGCACCTGTCCTCTGCCCTGGAAAGGCTGGTGAGGAATAAGCGTGGAGGGGGTCTCGGCTGGAATTGTACACCCCTTTCCTCTCCAGGATGAAAGGGGAGACCCCTGTGAACAGCACAATGAGCATAGGGCAAGCCCGCAAGATGGTGGAACAGCTGAAGATTGAAGCCAGTTTGTGCCGGATCAAGGTGGGTGGGACCCTCAATGCCATTAATTGACCAGCCCTTGCTGTGGGTCCCAAACCTCAAGATAAGAGATGTTTTCTTTCCTTGACTCCCTGAGGTCAGGGGAGGCGTCTCAGACTCGGGTGTGAAGCGCTGTCTCAGGCCTTTTTTTGGGGGTGAGGGGAGAGCAGACTGTCCCAAGGAGCCCCAGAGATGGCCAAAGAGAACCCATTTGGGGCAGAAACTGCAGTCCCTTCGGATGGCGTGGCTAACGACCCCCTCCTGGCTGTGCCCCAGGTATCGAAGGCAGCGGCAGACTTGATGACATACTGCGATGCCCACGCCTGTGAGGACCCCCTCATCACCCCTGTGCCCACTTCGGAGAACCCCTTCCGGGAGAAGAAGTTTTTCTGTGCCCTCCTCTGAGCTGCCCTGTCCCTCCTCACCTTTCCCTTCCCCTGAGCCTTTCCCGAGGTCAGTCCCGGTCCCGAGCCCCCCATGGCTCCCTGCACCCCATCCCTACCCCGTGCCAGCCCTGTTAAGTTATCTGAAGCACAAGGCCCTCCCTCACCTCGGTCGATCCCATCCCCTTGCCTACTGTGGCCTATTCCTGAGTTGGGGCACCCTTTCTTAACCCCACAGAAGGGCCCCGTCAGACTCTGCCAGCGTCCTGCCCACTTCCCTCTGGGACCCGCTTAGACAGACAATGGCGAGCGGGATGGCCGGCTGGGGACGTGCTCGCTGTCTCACCTGGAGCAATGGGAAGGGTAAAAGCATTTGAAGAATAAAGTCATTAGAGTGTCAGAGGCTGGCTCCGGTGTTAGCGTTCTTGGGGGAAGAGGCTCATCGGTCAGTGACTTTGGAGGTGGCTGCGGCAGGTGACAGGCGTGCCATAGCCAGGGAACAGGGCAAGTCCAAGCAGGTTAGACGCTGCCAAAGATCGGGGACCGGCAGGGCTGGGCGGCAGGCGGGTGCGAGGGAGCGTGTCCGGTTGTAACAGACACTCGGAGATGGAACGCACTCACACACACGTAACAAGAGGACACTCAAGGTAAGTAAACGCGAAAACAGACCGTACAGGGTATGTTTAGGGAAGGACTCGGGAAGGCAGTCGCAGACGGGAGGAACTCGAAGCAATAGTCACGGAGAGGAGGAGCTTGGCTCCGGCTACCGTGAAAGGGGTTGGTTTCGTTTCTAAGATGGCCGCGCCCACAGCAGTTCCTCTTCCAAGATGGCCACCGCCATGTGACTTGTGACAATATGGCGGCCTTCACATCAGTGCGTCTTACGTACAGGCTTACTCCGCCGTCCCCGTTCTTAAAATGGCGGCCCCCGGCCGGCCAGAGTTCCCAATATGGTCCCTTACGTGCCCTAATCTGTTCTCAAAATGGTTGCCTCTCCCCTTGCTAAGTCGATACCCACGCCCACCTTACCCTGGAGCCTGGAAGCCAACATCTCCCCAAACGAGCTGAAGGCAGGAAGGAAGTTTATAACGAAGGTCGTGGGGCCAAGGGACCCCAGGAAGCATAGCGGGTCAGATGCTGGGAGCACAGGGCTTGTGAGGGAGCCTGGGTTTCCACAGCTTGCCAGATAAAGGCTTCCTTGAAACGGCCACCGAAGTGTGGGGTCACCACCTGGCATCTGGAAGCCCCCTTCCCCTTCCAGCCTTGTTGGCCTTGGGTGCCATTTTTGGTCGCCTCTATATGCTTCTCTCTCCAGGAGCTGGATAAGGCCGAAGTCGTTCCGTTTAGGTTTCCTGGTAACAAAGGGGCTTGCTGTGCTTCCATGTCCCTCTCAGGCTGATTGGGCCACATCTATCCCAAGCAAGTCCCCTCCTCTAGTGTGCCTGCCACCCCTCGCAGAGGTGCGGCAAACTGGCCAAACACCAAAACCAAGGTGTAATCTTTTGCCAGTAGCTCCAGGGCTGAAACTTGGTGGAGGGTTAAAAGGTTAGAAGACGTCTCCTTCCAAGGCTGAATACAGTGGAAGTGGGAAGAGGCTGTCCACTCATAGATCATTGAGATCCCCATCTCCTAAATCAGAGACACATCCTTCTGGGAAGAAGCCTAGGCCAGCTTGTTTTGTGCCTGGGTCATCTGCAAGGAAGAGGGGGTCAAGGACACTGGACTGCCCTGCAGGAAGGTGACCTGTTAGGGATAGCATGTCGTCACCCCTAGCTTCCTCACACGCCTTCACATGCAAAGATGATACTGACCAGAGGAAACCAAAGGAATAAGGGCTGTTCTACCAGTAACTGACTTAGCCTCCTATGGATATCTCCATGGTCCCCAGGGGTACCCAATCAACTCGGGGCACCTCCAGGAATAGCAGCTTTTCAGCTGTTAATGGACTCAGAGCCCTAACAGGTCCTGGAAGGAGCTCTGGTGGTGCACTGGCTAAAGTGCTCAGCTTTGTGAACCCACTAGTCTGCGGATGTGGGCAAAGATGTGATAGTCTGCTGCCCTAATTATTTATGGCCTTGGAAACCCTATGGGGCAGTTCTACTCTGTCCTATAGGATTGCTGTGAGTCACACTCCACAGTAGCAGGTTTTTTGGGTTTACAGCAGGTCCTGGAGATCATCCACTAACTTACCTCACCCTCAAACCCACTGCCATTGGGCTGATTGCCACATCTAAAGCTGTAACTCTTTACAGAAACTAACTGCCTTATCTTCCACAGAATGGCTGGTAGGTCTGAACCGTTGACCTTTTGGTTAGCTTTAACCACTATACCACCAGAGCTCTTTCCCTCACCCTAGGAATAAAGTAACCTGGCTTTCCTCCTGGGGTGGGGACCTACCCCATTCTGTTCAGGCCCTGCTTATTTCCTTAGCACCTGTGAAACCTCCAAGGAGGGTCAGGTCTGTTCCAATCCCCGCATGTTAAGTGCCCAGCAGGCACTCCAACACTTCCTGAATGGGTGCACTTAAGAGGCCAGCATGGTCCACAGCATAGAGTAAGAACTCTCCCTTTTTGTACAGCATCAGGGGAGTAAGGGAAAATTTCCACATCAGCTCAGACTTGCTAAAAAGCCAGATGTGTCCAATAAGTGTTACCTGGGCGTTAAGATTTTTAAAAAACAAAACCCTCTGCTCAATTTTTTTGGCACACTCAGATTTTCATACTCACCAGGTTAGGGGTAAATGGCTACAGCTCTAGCTGGAAGGGAAAGGGGGCTTCGAGGTCACTAGAGAGGAGGCATGAACTATAAGTAACCATTAAAAAAAAAAAAAAAAAAGATTCATTAGCTCCAGTACTGACTTTAAAGGAAGGTCCTGGAGAATGGGTAGACACCAAAATCAAGAACTGCCTTCAGGGTACAGAGCTGGTCCCTGGGGTCTGGATCTGTGTTGCGTACTGAAGGAAGCAGGAGCGCTAGCTAGATCCGCGGCACCACTCCTGCATGACCCTGGTGCACTCCAGCCTTAGTTAATCCTTGGGCGCTTGAGACACTGGAAGGAGGATCAGTTCAATGCCAGGAAAGGGTGCTTTTGTCACCTCCCTCATTCTCCAAAGGCAATAAAAAAGAACCCCAATCAAACATCTTGTTGAATGAGTGGCTTTCCTCATAAATGGGAATTACTCGTGAGGAAACTTACTTGGCTCAATAAACGGAACCTTATGAGTAATTTCACGCATCCAACAGGTTTAGTACGGGCCTAGAACGGGGAGGTCATGAGTTACCATCTACTTCTTCCGACTTCACGGCTCAAACTCTTGGCCTAAGCACCGAAGAGACTAACAACCTCATGACCGCACCTCTGCAGCGAAGGCCTGGAAGGCAGGAGAGGGAGGGATGAGCAGCCGTGCGAGAGGGAAGCCATCCTTGGCTGGACCCACGGCAACTTGAAAAAGCATTAAACAAACTCAGTCACTGGTCTGACGGAGCCTGATGGAACCTCTGAGGTTATGGCCCCTAGATGCCCTTCATGTCTGGAATTGAACCCACCGTGGCTTCCAACCAAATGAAAGACAAGCATATGAGCTGAACGTTTACATTAGGTAGATACATGCCCTGGAGAGATCAATCAGGGGAGAATAGAAGGGCTGTGTATGCGCAAGGAGACAGCTGGGGGGGGGGGGCCAGGAGTGCAGGGGTGGGAAGGACACAGGGAAGAGGGAACTATGGGGAGAAGTGGGAGGGGACCTGTTGCATTGTGGGAAACCGTAGTCAATGTCATGAGGTAGTGTATGTGAGCTGTTGTATGGAAAGTGAATTTGCTCTGTAAACTTTCATCCAAATCACACACACACACACACACACACACAGAGAGAAAAAGCCCCACAAACAACCCAATCAATTCCCCAGTGACACACTCCACCCCAGTCACAGGCGAAAGGGTGAATTCAATCCAAATGGTTATTTATTCTAAAACTGGAAGCTACTGTGCCTACATTTCGCCAAAGTTTGTAATGACAAGGGGAGAAGGGGGAGGAGTTACAGATGTAAACAAGGACACAGGTTACATTTTCTCAAAATGGTAAAACCCTTTTTTACTGGCCACTTCCAAGAATGCTTTACAGGTTTTGTAAGAACATTTACAGGCGTCACGTGTTTGTTTTTCTCACAAGCTTTTCCATCTACAACAACTACAACAGACGGCTGATAAAACACTCAACAAGTTGTCTAAGGAAAACAAGGCTAGGAATCCCTTTTGTTACTGTAATCCACATCACCCCCCCCAAACACTGTTTTTCTCATAATAAACAGATAGACAGAAACAAAACCCAGACATCTACTCTGCTATTGCGAGTGGCCTTGTGGTGGTCTGTACCAACAAGGCTGTGAGAGTTTCACTCACCTAAAAGCCAGCTTTTTTCTTTTTTTAAAAAAGATGGATGACTTTCTAGTGTCAAAAAGGAATAGCAAGTACCTCCCCGCAAAACCCCACGTGGCTTAATCCCCCTGCCCTTGTGGGTCCCTGCAACCCCACTTCGTCAGAGCCCATGAAAAGATGCTAGTTGGTGGTGAACCCAACACCCCAGCAGGGGCGGCAGCCGCAGCCTCAGCCTCAGGAAATTGCATGCCTGGTTCTAACAGTCTTCTCAGGGGACTTCTCTGGGCTCTAGATGTCACCCCTTTGCCCTGACACTGTGAGCGCTGCCTTCTCAAACTTTCTCAGAGTAAAAAGTGAGTGGGTTCCAGCAGTCCATGCGGTCACCTCCTCACTGCCACACACAAATCCATTGACGGCACTGCCAGGAAGCAGGTGCCAAAGGAAGAACGTCATTGGGAGCAAGCCAGCCCATCTCGTGTCAACCTCCCCCTTCCGGCTTAGGGGTCAGAGGGACGGTGGAACAGAAGGGTGCGTCTCGATGGACAGGGAGCCTGGGAGGCCAGAGCGAGGGCGTACGCACCTAGAGAGGGGCTTTGTGGCAGTAACAGTGGGGGAAGGACCCCAAGACAAAGTTTCAAACAGAGAAC